GGGGGGGGGAGAACAGGTGACAGGGGAGCTTCTGACTGGCTGGATGAAGTGGGATGGGCCTCAAGAACAAAACAATTAAATAATATGTATAATATATACATTATTTGACAATAAAACCTTGAAGATTTGGAAAGTACCACAAAGATAATTGAGTGAGACCCGCGATCTGGTGTACTTGAAGGAGATTTAATTCATAACTATTCATGTATTTTTAAAAGATTCAGACGACAGTGAAATGTTCATGAAAACCTAGATATGGAACTTAACAAATTAGTTTTTTAAAACCTTCCAAGAATAGCTGGGAATGTCAGCAGAGGTGGGCGACTGCTGATTATTTACACGCTTTGTACATCGGTGATAGATGTTGGGGTACTGGGAGACCTATTCTATCTTTTTCTGTGACAGAAACTTTGATAAATGTATGTGGAAAATCCATTCTGTCTTTTCTGAGTCGGGAAACTTTAGAAATGTATAAAGAAAATCTATTCTATTTTTTTTTTCTGTGTTGGAGACTTTTAGAAATGTACATGGAAAATCTATTCTATCTTTCCTGTGTCGGGAACTTGTATACATGTACTGAAAAATCTGTTCTCTATCTTTTCTGTGTCGGGAACTTTTCTAAATGTACAATGTTTGTGCCGCCTCGCAGGGTTCAAGAGCCACCCCAAGTACTGGTGGAAAAATAATTCACTATGATGATACAGTCAGTCTGTCTGGTGAAATAATAGTCATGAATAATAGTCCGTGTCTTCTGTACTGGCACCTTGAGGTCGTCAAAGCACACCGTCAGTAGGGTATCTCCTCACCAGCTCTTGTGTCTCGCCAACTTCCTTTTGGTAACGTCATCCCGCCAAAACCAGGCCAAGACAAGATGATGTTCCCGCCAAAACCAGGCCAAGACACGATGATGTTCCCGCCAGAATCAGGCCTGGAGCTGTCCCCTGGCCATGTTCATGAGACAGGTGGGACACAGGTATCCTGTCTTCTGCTTCTCCTCTGACGTGGTGGTGGTGGTGGTGGTCACGTGACGTGGTGCGCGGCGTGACACTTTGGGGCACTGGCCACACTGAAGGCACTGAAGGGAAGGAAGGAAGGAAGGGGGAAAAATACATGAACACTTGGGCGGGGTTAAAGTTTAAAAAGACGGGAAAATGTGAAGGGGTGTCATGTGGAAGAAACAAAACAACAAGCCAACAGGCTATGTCACACGGTTTAGCCAATTTTGGGTCGTTTTTAAAGAAGGAACTTTCTTAGTCTTAGCTTGATGTTTTTTCAATGTTTGTTAGAGTATTTAGTTCTGCTGTTGGGAAAAGGAAGACAGACAGACAGACAGAAACAACAGAGAGAAAGTAAAGAAGTAGAATTTGCCAGTGGTGCCCTACAACCACCTATATTTTAAACTGGATTTGATTTTTATGATAATGTGTTTTTTTGAACGGCCTGGTTATTATTTTTCCACAGTGATATTCGTGGGTGGTTTTAGGGCGCCACTGGTAGGTCCTACTTCTTGACTTTCCCCTCTGTTGTTTCTGTCTGTGTGGGTGGTTGGAGGGCGCCACTGGTAGGTCCTACTTTTTGACTTTCCCCTCTGTTGTTTCTGTCTGCCTGTCTTACTTTTTCCCGGCACTAAATGACCGTTATAGTGTCGATGTGCTTCTCTTTACTCAAACAAACTTACAGACAGGGATATTCTACAAGCTAAGGGCGAGAATCCCTGGGTTTTTTTTGTCCTCTAAGAAAAAGGAATAATCTCCCTCTTAAAAAACATCTGACTCCCTTCAGTTAAGTTAGTGAAGTGGTGACCTATTAATAAAAATAATTACCGTTAATCAAAGTGTTGAGACTGCAAGTTTTAATATGTTTCGTTTATAGGCCGTACGACGACTTAACAACCACCCCACCCCTCCAACAAACCAATAACGACGACAACAACAATAATAATAATAATAA